CGAATTCAAAAATATACTCATTTCTTGGGTTTCTTGCGCTTCCTTCCAGTTCCCCCAGCCCTGCCCATTCGGGCATGCTCAAGGGGTTGGAGCTCCAAAGATTTAGATCTCTCATACTGTCTTCGAAAAGCCTTCGCTTTGGCATTAGTTGCCAACTGAAACTCAGCTAGCACTGCGAGACCCTCATTAATGTATATTCTTGCGGTCTTTGCCGCCTGCCACCTACCTGCTATGAGCAGTTTGTCTAGGGACCCGTGTTTTGCAAAATAGGAGGTGGCACCTCCCCTTCGCAGGCTGTAGGGCCTAAAAGAGCCCTGTGGCATCCAAGTATTCAGTAAACTTCTTCCTCCAGACATGAGCCGCCTCGCATAGTAAAGGTCGAGAGCTTGGAGTATTCTTCCACTGCCAGAGTCGTCGCAGGGTATCCTCTTCCCGGATTGTCACACTTTCAGCAGCGCCTTGACGACGACCACCTTTTGTCATGCTGAGGGAAATGACCGCGACACTTCGTGGACCTCGCTGTTCTATATGGCTCTTTTTAACTCCCAACAACTCCCCCGTCCGCAGGAGTCCATGGAAACCGAGCAGCAAAGAAAGGGCAAACAGGTCGTCCTTCTTGAACAGGCTGTAGCCAACCAGTATATCTAGGGCCTCTGTGGGCAGTGGCGGCGCTCGGCTTGGAATTTCGGTGGAGGACCAGGTCTTCATCAACCTCCAGGAGGATGGCAACCTCCCCTTGACTGAGGGCTTGTAGTCTTGAACTGCTGCTATGGAGTCACAAGCAAGAGCGCGGCCTTCTCCAGTTTCCCAAAGAAGTTCTATGTAGTGACTAAGCCAGAAGTCAAGAGTGAGGGGGGTCATCTGGGAATCGGCGACTCTCTTCACGAAGGTAGGTACGGAATTTTTCAAGCGCTTTGTCATATCGTGCTCTGGTGGCTGGCTGGACAGCCAGGTTGCGTAGCGGCCCTAATGCTCGTCGCTGCTGCTGCCGTGATGCTTTGTCTTTGCCTTCTATGTGTACTTTGCTATGGCTCACCATTTCTTCTTTACTGGGTGCCTCGACGGCCCATCGGCCGGGTTTTCCTTCGTGTGAACATACGCCCACACGCCGTGGGAGCCACTGGCAAGGAGCAAAGCATTTATCCGACTCATAGTGCGACGAAGTTTGCGGCTGCTGCTGCGGCCTCTTGAGAGGGAATGGAGGCACACCAAACTATCCACCATATGCACGAATTTTGTGCGAAGAGACTTCTTCTTCACGATCCGCCAGCGAAGCGAGGTGAGAACCGCCCGCATCTCCAAGACATTGATGTGTTCTGGTGAACCCTTCCATGTCCACCCCATGACTGTCTTCCATTGCCACAAGTTGGAGGGTAAGCTAGCTCGCAATCTATGGTATCGAAGAGTCTCTTCACTCAGGGCTTGAATCATGATGTCCTCACCCTTCAAGCTGACCAGGTTCAGGAGTTTTGAGACCAGCTCGTACTCCCCTTCTGTACCTACCTTCTTGATTCGCTTCATGGCCTGACGTTGCAACATGCCTCCCCAGGTGGTTGCGGTACCGGGCTTTGTGGCCTCGACTGCGTCTTGCGGACTTTTGGAGGGGCATAGACCAAGCTGCTGGCCCAGTTGGGCAAGCAACCAAACCACGACCGTCACATTCCAGCTGTTGCCTATCAAGCTCTTCCTCTCATCCTCATGCGCTTCACTTCCATGATGCTGCTTTGACATGCATTGCACTGTATAGTCCCGAGGAAACCCCATGATTGCTTCCCGCTCGCGAACGGACGGAATTCGACACCTGCCACTGCCTTCCTTCACCAGCAAGCGATGAGCATATTGGTATGGGGGAAAGCGGAACTTGTCCGCTTCCCATGATTCCTTCTCTTCTGGGCTGAGCTTTTCCAGCCCAGCTGGTCGCCGTCCTGGATGAGTCCTTGGCCTTGCCGTTGTAAAGGTAGGGAACGGCTCCTCCGAGACTTTCACGCAACCTGCTGTTAGGAAATCCTTGGGGTTGACCTCGGCGATGAGCTCGACTTCCTGAAAGGCCGCCATCCCCTGATCAACTTTAGGATGCATGCGAACCCCTGGTCCTGACCTCAACTCCCAGTCCAACCAGTATAGACGGGGTCGACGGGCCAGCGAAACACCACTGGCCTCTATCTTCACCGGGGTGTCCCCAAAGTCTCGCGACATGACTTCACGGTCCTTCCGGTCCATTGAGGCCACACTCTCTGCCAAGTACCTGACTTGCGCCCAAGGGAAATGGATCTTCAGCAGCTCCTTGATGCGTCGGACATGGCTGAAAAGACAGCTCCTGTGATCTCGCAGGGCACCCCGTCGCTCACTGTTCAACCCACTCACGCCTTGACAAGGTGGTCCAGCTCCCAGTAAAACTAACGATGCCTGAGAAAACTTCGCCGCCCAGCACCTGACCATCTCCTCGTCAACTGCTTCCACTCCTTCGATGAACTCTGTCGCCGGGAACTTGCTCTCGAGGACACGGCTTGCCTCCTTCTTCACTTCCACACTAATGTGACCCAAAACTGGGAAGCCGCAAGCATCAGCTGCCACTCCCAACGCTCCGATCCCATCGAACAGACCGATCGTTAGGACTGAGCACACGTCAGACGGCTCTGCAATGTCACCTCGAACAGTAGCTCGTGATGCCGCTTTCCCAAAACCTGTCAGACCAATGCTTCGAGTCAAGCCTCCACCAGTGGTAGAAGCATCACTGGCTGTAACCTCCGAGCTCACCTCTAACCTGAAGTCCATTTGCGCCAGAGGAACTAAAGCAACAAACCGTGCGATCTCCAGCCTCACCTCCGAAGGTATCTCTAGCTTGATCACCGGTGGGTAGTGCTTGAACTCCTTGATGAATCGCCACACTGCATTCAAAGACCCTAGGAGGGGCCTTCTGAACATGCTCATGTATACCAAGCCTCCAGCAACTACCTGGATCTGCTTCTGACTGCACCTCTTCTCCCCTAACAGGAGAATGGCAAGGTGGGCGTACTTGAGCACCTTGATAGGTTTGGGATAGGCGATTCCCCTCACTGCATCAATGATGGCACCTTGCACTTCGGCCTTCAACGATCGCGCAACTCCTTTCTTTGGATGGCGAGGAACTCCCCATCTTTCATACTCCGACCGGAGCGCCAGAATACTGGCACTTGGCTCCCCCCTTAGGAGCTCGGCGGTGCGCTTGTCCATCTTCTCCAGCGAGTCGAAGTTATCTAAATATACCCTATGCAACGTGGTAGCAGAAGAGAAAGGTCGATCCTTTCGCACCTCTTGTTCTGGCTTGAGCCCCCCCCCCGACTTGTTCCCCAGCTCGCCTCACCATGGCCCTGTGGACATGTTGGGCCAAGCTCACGCTGTTCTTAAAGCCCATCGGTAGCACTTGTGAAGCTAAGTAGTAGGGGCCATCATCATCCGGCCACATCTCACGTGGGATGGGCTTGTTGAAACCAAGGAAGCTTGACCACTCACGAGGCACCTGGAAAATATAAAAGAAACAGCGCACATCCTCAGAGGATATCACTAAATCTTCACAGGGCATCAATTGCAGGGGGCTCATAGTAGCCCAAGTAGGGAGAGTGGCTACGTCGCCTTCGATGCCACGGCATACCAAGTTGGCTGGCCGAAGGTCCATGATCAGACGGTGAATCGGGTGACCTTCATGCTCCTCCCCTTTCGCAACTCCAAATATACGTTTAGGAGGGGGCGTCCGTCAACATGATGGAGGTCCTTCTCTTTCAACGGGATACACACTCCCTTCCCCAACAAACCCTCACAGACTCGCGGCCACGCCTCATCACTGATCATGATTCGCGGCGGCTTCATGGGCTTTTGCAACTCCTCAGGCAGAACGTATGAGTTGAAGTTCAACACGTAATGACGACACCCCAGATCCACCACTTCAGCCAAGGGGACCGAAGCGATCTCCGAGGGCATTGCTGGTGCGAGGTTTTCCCAGGTGGTATACTGCGCGCAAAGAACCTCCTCCCCACAGTAGTCGATGGTCTTTACCTGAAGAAAGTCATGCCATGTAGTCTCCTCAAACCTTTCTTCCCACTCCAAAACTGCCCTCGTCTGACCTTCCAAGAACCTCAGGACACCGACCTGCAGTGGGATCGGGGGAAACTTGTTCTCCAGTTCAACCCCGTACAGACTATTCAAAGACATGCACATGCCCCTCATCACAATAGAGGCTTCTTGAGAGATCTGCAACACCTCCCTGAGCACCCCCATCTCAGTGGGTAACGGAAATACGTCACCCGTGGGCTGGGTCGTGCACTGCAAAGGCAAATCGGCAAATCAATCCTGGAGCTTGCTTGAACTAAGATGGAGGAAACCCAAGGAAAAACATGATACAACTCCTCACCCCCTCTCGGCGGCCTCGTGCACACTTTTTGCAAGGTTGGGACATGCTCTAAGGCGTCAACACTTGCGTCCTCGGCCAGGGCAACCCCCTTTAAATGGCGCCTCTTGGCCTCTGTACCCAGGGTGGTCGAAGCTGTCGAAGGTCCAACCACACTGCCACTGGAAAAAACGGTTCGACTCTCCTCAAATGGTCGATCCTTGTCATACGGCGAACTCTCTGCAGGATCATCATGCGGCCTCATGCCTCCTGCTTCTTCTGTTCCTTCTCTTTGCCTTTTTTGCCCTTTCCTTTGCCCTCTTTGTGCTTTCCCTTCTCCTGATGCCATGGCGCGTCTCGCCAGCTGCTTGACCAATCTCCTTTGCTCTTCCCCTTGCTTGCCTCCGCTCGAGTGCGGTTCTCTTCCTTGGACTCCTTGATAGCCTCCCGGGCTTCCGTCCTGCTTGAAATGATGGGCTTTTCCAAGGGGACTAACTCGATCTTCTGTGACACTGACCAGCTGGCGCCCTGCGAAGTCATCTCTATGGCCTTCAGCCGTTGCATTAGGCCATCTGCGGCCTCTGCTATCCGAGCTTGCATCAACAGATCCAGGCACCAGCTCAAGGTCAATGCTTCGCGAGACTGACCGCCTGTCAAGCGGGTGCTCAGGACCTGCCTGAAATACTGGCAACAGATGGGCTGAAGAGGCCCTTCGGCCTGGTCCCAGATCCCTCCTGTGGAGCTGAGGAGATTGTTGGCCATCTCCTTGCATCCTGCCGTAGTCAGTGCACCCGGGGCCATGCGGCCGATCTTCCTTACCTTTTGAGTCTCCTCGAAAAGCTCGCCGCTCTCTTCCTCGGATGAGCCACTGCTGCTCCCTGTTGATGAGGTCTCGGACGAACTCTTCTTCTTTTTCTTCAGCCTCCTGGAAGCCTTGGCTGCTATCTTTTTCCTCACCTTGGGATCGGCTCCACTGGAGGTTGCTTAGGAGGCGGGCCTCCCCTGTCTCCAGGCGGAGATCTGGATGGTGTTCTTGGTGGCCTGACGGATGGCTTTGCCTTTTTCTCCTTCCCTTTCTCGGCCTGCTCCTTCTTCTTGTCTTTGTCCTCCTTTGTGGGCCTTGACCTTCTCGATGAACTTCTCCTCCTTCTGCGATGTGATCTTCTGCTCCTCGACTTGTCTCGCTTCCTCGCGCTCCTGCTCCTTCTCCTGGGAGTCTTGTCCTCTTTGAGCTGCTTTGATCCACTCGAGCACTTACCTTCCTCTACAGGCGAACCTACTTCCTCCACACCGGGAGTTTCTTTAGGGCTGTTGGGCTTGTCTCCTTCCTTCTTCGGGGCTATCCAACTCTTGTCCGGCCGATCTGCCTCTTGCTCTTTACTCCCCTTTGTGGGAGTTTCTCCTCGGACCACGGGACTCGCGGACTTGGAAGCCGCTGTAGCAGTCGCTGCCGCGCGTGCTTTCTCCGCCTCTTCAAGCCTGTCAAGTTCCTCCTGAACAATTCCGGTCCAGATGCGGATGTTGCTGATGCCCCAGCCGCGAAGTCCCAAAGGCAGCGAATCAACTGTCGTCCACCAGCGAGTACGCACTCGACAAAAAGTGCACACCTGATCGGCCTCTCCGCACCGTATCCCGCACTGCGTGCACGGGTACATCCACGGCTGAGAGCCCAAACCCTTCGGGAGAGAAAGGAATCCACCTAGTTCGTCTTAAAACCCGGGGTCGTAAGTTCATATAATATATAGTCTACTATGTGATAATGGTAGCGATATTATTCGTATTGCAGCTGGCCACTTGGGCAACCCTAACGATTACCACCAACCAGGCCATGCACCATGCATCCTTCAACAGCACCACGTCCCTTGTGCCCCGCCCGCAGCCAAGAAGCGAGTTGAAGCAGGGAGAGCATCATACCGATAACGTTGGGACCCCACACTGGCACTTTCCCGGTTCGCACACCCACAGTAAACCAGCAAGAGCCTGAGTCAACCACGGATCTGGACATCTGGTCTGCCGATGTCAAGAGCAAATATCAAACCAAATTAGAGAATTACAGTAAACGTTCAAACCGCTGGATGATGCCCTGACAAGTAAAGCTCCCTCTCTGTCTCCCTGTCTGAGGTGCTGTTCAAAAATCCCAAGAAGCTCTGCATGACAGGTAGGGTCCTCGCAGTCATGAGCATGGTTGTATTAAGAGCTGCAGAAACAAATGCACCGACAAAAACAACAAACTTTGACAAACAAAAACCCAGCTGCAACCTATTCACAAAGCCCTACGGTACTTTATTGGAAGGCTTAGCATGTAGTTGGTATAGTTTCCGACACTTTGTGTTGAAGAAGTGTTGAACTCACGATTCATGAACCTGTCTGTTGTGACCTGCTGACAATTAGCTACGTGTTCCAGTTTGGTCACACATTTCTGACTTCGGCTGGGATGAGATTATTGAAATGCATATTTCTGCAAAGGTGACTGGCACAAGCTAAGCAGTGGAGGGGAAGTCAATCCCCTGCATCCCTTTCTTTGTGGTTTCGGATGATGCCAGAGACGTTAGAGAACATGTTAAAGTGGAGCAATCAGAAAGTCCACAACTTTCTGCCCACAGATGCCCACAGCCCCTAAAACTGTGAGGCAAGAATCTCGGAGGACTTGGTCTTCAGCACCTCTTTCATACTGGACAAAGGCGCTCCGTACCTTGGATGCACCATGATGAGAATGCACCTCGTCACCTCGTCCGGTGGATCTTTTGGGAACAGTGACAATTTGCACTTCTAGAGATGGTGATGAAGCTCAATCTAAAATCAAAATCTGACTCCGACTCGAGCAATTACAAAAAAAAAGTAGTATGATGTACAAGTAGTATGTAACTATATTGAACTTAAACGTACATCCAAATTGATGGGGATTGTCGTATTATCATTCCAGATGTTGACATCCAAACGCCTTACTCAGCTCAGGAACATGATGATTCCCACCAGCATCCCGAGGACGCCAACGTCAGCCGCGCTTTCCAAAGCTGCAAAGGCAAAGATGGTTGCCGAGAGCAAAACTGCCAGCAGTGTGCCAATTGCCTCACATCGAATGCGGTACTACCACTGAGCGCTGGACGACGCTGGACGTGTTCATACAATTTTCATGGGCGTTCGATTCATGCGTTCGTTGGAATGTGCCCAGGTGCAGCGGTGCGATCCCAATTGATCGCATGTTGCTCCTTTCGCGCGAACCACCAACATGCGGAGGTGCTGAAGATGGCCACACCAACCTGAGGTTGTGAAGCTTCGCTTCACAGAGTCCAAAGTAGACCAATCCAACAGCTTCACAAGTCATGACCTTGATGAACGTAATGACACGTACTGACTCCGTGAAACATGCAGCTGGGGGAACGTAGAGAAAACCGAGTTCGAGAATCTCTGAATTTTCTCTTCCATGTCAAACTTCAGAGATTGCTTTCTGTCCCTCGCTGAGAAGGGCCAAAATGGGCACTTCGGAACTGGCAGAGCATCCGGCTGAGTTACTCCATAAGCGTTGCACGGCACAACCGGTGGGACTGGCAGGAAGAGGCCATAGGCCAGCCTTGTTCCACCAAACCACACGGGAAACCCAACTACTGGACATAAATGTACACCATACCAAACATATCCAAACGTGGTTGATTGTGTAAATGGTTACGATAAACATGTCCTTCACTGTTTGCCAGCAGTTGAACAGTGTGGCCAAAGACAAACAAACTCTTACTGTATGTTGATGTTGCCAAATCAATACTGGGATACATGATGATACATTGACATTATTGGAAGCCTCACTCGCTTCAAAAAGCAAGCTTGTTGCCAAACTGTTGCTTTACAGTTTCTTGAAATCCTTATTTCACAATGCTTGAAACAAATATATATATATATATGTATAATTGAAATTACACTCACAAATCCAAACTTTCCCGGAGTTTCCTGCATCACGTGGTCTACCAGGGCTGTGCTGACAGACTCAAGATTCCTGCGTGCTTATCTCATTGTCTGCTCTCTTCTGCAGCTGAGTGGCTGAGTCATGCAGTTCAGGTAGAAGCAAAGCAAGTTGATGGGATTCACATATCCTGTCCACAACTGAAGTGATCAAGTGCCACGCATCTGTTAAGTGAAACAGGTGGCACAAAGAAATCGCCCTCATTACTTCAATCTCCCCTCGACCAAAAAGTGCTAGCGGAGCATTAAAATGTCCCGAACAGTGAATCTTCCAAGGTCACCATGATCCAGCACAATAGAACCCGATTGGTTGGAACAGCTGGGTGATCCTTCTATCAAATGGTAAATTCTTCTTCAAAACAGGACAAGCTTCTCACTTTTGCTGGCGTGCCGCACACATCGATTGCCCTTGGTGCCGTTGCAGGTCACGGATGAACAACCGAACTTGGAGAAGCACGCTGCTGGTGGATCTAGCATTGCTTGGCTGATTTCACCAAGCACACAGAGAGAAGGCTGGAAGCCATAGACATTTTAAAGTGGAAAGGGATACTATATATAAGTCCAAGAAGGACCCTCGAAAACGGGATTGCTTGCATCGAAAACTGGCAACAGCTTTGGTACTGTGCTATCATGCTTTCAAGGTTTGTGATCGCTGGCTGCTTCATTTGGCGTTTCATCAATTGCTATGCCCCCGTGGTTCCGCGGCTCGAATTTGCCAGAGGCCCTCTCTCTAAACCAAGAGGCTGTGACAAGGGGGCCGTCATGAAAAAGACTGCGAAACAGATCGCCACAGTGTCGAGGATGAAATCTGCGGCCATGGCTATGAGCGGTTAACGCTTCGGAGGCAGCTAACAAACGTTCATGAATCAAGGAGCCGTGAAGGCTTCTGCAGTCACCTCATGTGCGAGCTGCCTTTTCTTCCTCATTCAATGATGGACATCATTGTCTCTTGAGGCTAGTCAATCTTCTGGCCAAACAGCTGCAAGAGCACCAGCAGAATCCTTCACGGTCCGCCAAAAGAGCATTCTTTGGTATCGTTTTTAGGTCCGTTGCTGGTCTGCAGTCTCCGCTTTGCGTCGGTTCCTACTGTGTGCACCCATGCTTTGAAGCTGTGTGAGTCTTTGACAAGTGGGCAGCAGTTCAGATTGATCCAGCCTGATTGAGACCATCTTCACTAAAGCCCGAGAAGCGCACGGATGGCACCTGGCATGGCGAGCTGGGCAAGTCGAAGTGATCGCCCTTCCTTTCGGTTCAGGCGTCGCACGCTCCATTCAAAGCCTGGAAACTGCAATAGATTCGCTGCTCTGAAACATGAACCTGCTAGGTTCCAAGTGGGAAACATACATGCTAAGCCGCGCAGAGGCCGCACTTTGTGGTCACCTTTCACAATATTTCTACCCTAGGATTCGAACCGCCATTACTGAACCAGTGTGTCACTAAGGATTTTACACGACAGCAGCAGGTCAACCCCTCTTTTAATGGTCTTGGAAGGCTAAATGTTTCGCTATTTGGTTGGAAGAAAGTTGGTGGTGAATTCAACAGGCTTGAATTCACCAGGCTTGCAGTGCTTGCAGTGCAACCGCACACATCCGCACACCAAAAAAAGGGCCAATGCCTTTCGGACGCATTCGCACAATGTCCGGTGCCTCCTTGAGCTTGTAATGCCCTGACAGAGTCACTCGAAGGTCCTTGGCACATTGGAGAAACTGTCGTCAATGAGCGTTCCAAAACGACCGCAAAAGGCAAAAAACCTCAAATCATATCAGCGTTCCAAAGGTGCTTGCCTAGGCGACCAAACATTGCTTGAATGTGGATACAGTGCCTAGATCCTAGTACTGGACAGTACCCCGCCGAACAATCTCCTGATCAGTCAAAGAGCCTATTTCGTCCGCAGTGGGTCATTGTTACATGACTGCATTGTTTGTGGTCCTATGAATTCGCCCCTTCTGATCCTACAAGAATGTATATTTGAGCACTACAGACTACAGGTATCCACAGCGCGCTTCAGGTATCCACAAGCAGATCTTCAGATAATTGAATACTCTGGCTGCCACAGGCACCTGCCGCCGGACTGAGGAACGTCGTGCCTCGGAGTGCTTTCCGTCTTGGTCCACGCTAATTGCAGGACTTGTGATGATTGATTGATTGTGTGGCTGAGAGTCAACTCCAAACCCCTAACCATCCCCTAACCATGGTAGTGTGGCCCTATGTGGCCACAGCGGAGGAGATCCTGTTCACTGATTCACTTGAATGGTATCTCAACCAGTGCTCCCGTGGTTTTGACCCACATACTGTATGGCTGCCACATGGGTCTTTGCATGGTCTGGCTAATCTTGAATCCCCACAGCCGGCAACTGTGAAAGAACATTAAAAAGGCCCTGTCTCGAGCTTCGGGGGGGCCCTACAAACAGGAGACTCCAGTGGTTGACCACCTGCAACATGTTCATTGGTTTGTTGGAGGCTGTGGGTTTTTTTTCTATGCGATAATGGGAACCAGAACGGGAATGCTGCTCGATGACCCCAAAGGGCCAGTGGTTCAAGACCCAGAAGCCGTGGAAGAGAACGTGCCCGTTTTCAAGGAGATTGACTCCTGGAGCTTTCAGGATCAGTCCATTTAGATTCGTTACTAGCGTCCCTGCTACTAGTAGCGATGCCCGGGTTCCTAGTACCGATGCCAGGAGCTACTAGCAGTAGCTTCTTGTTCCTAATATATATATATATACATATTAGTATAGAGGTCAGATGTGAATCCTTTGACTGACAAAGTGGGCTGCGATGGTGTCCCGTCCTCGCTATACTAGACTAGGAACATCCAGGAACAACACTTTTGATGCAAACGCATACCTGACGATTCACCCATCATCTGTTACTTGTCAGGAAAATCACTGCACCAAAGTAAGGGTGCCTAAACTGGCCTGTGTCATCATGGCCTCATGTTACCGGACAGTAACCTACCTCCTCCCCTTCTCCGAAGCCCTCTCGAAAATGGTTTCAAACTCAAAAGTAAGTATGCTAATAAGTGTGTACATGATTATATATGTACAGTATATGGCGTGAGAGATACGGAGGATTCTGACGAATGGATTGGCCTGAAAGGACTCGTAGAATTGCCAGAGCTCCAGCGAAAAGCGGCCATCAGTACTGCGAAAAGCATCGAAAAGCGGCTTCGAGGCAGCGAACGCCAAAGCTGCTCTCCAGCAAAAAGGCTTCCGCATCCGAGGTTGATATGAGGTTTCTGTTGGGGTTGTAGGCTGAGAGTGCATCTTGATACAGAACGGGTGACACTTCTACAGGGGATATTCACTTCTCTATCACTGATATCACCATCCAACACTCAGCAAAGAATCATGGTGAGGAACCGGCCGAGTGTATAGAGCCAAGTGCAAATCAGGCTGCATGCATGACTCTTCTAGATTCTAGAAAGTCTCTTTCTATGTGTGGAAACAAATTCTTAAGTTTTCATCAGCCAATCAAGGCGCGGGCAGCTGCTTACAAGGTAGATAATGGTCTGCAACTCGATGACTGATGTTCAAGAATTCACATTCAATTCGCTCCGGGTTTTCTCAAAATCTGGCCATTGTGCCTTTCCACTCAAAAGCCCCTTCCCCAACGCGACCACTTCGCAGCAGCCACACCTGGGCTGCAGCTCCAGGAGTGCCGAGGTCCAGCTACTCCGGCCTGGGGATTGCACGGAGTCACAAGGCATCAGTCAACATTCACAAATTCCATCGACTAAAGACATGCTAGCTAAAAGCTAGCAATGTCTGGCTTGTGTGTGCTCTTTTAATGCTTTTATGGAAGTTCCTGGGCATCCATATCTCTGGGATTAGCTCGAGTCCAAGACAGTAAAAGGAATGTAAAGGTACAATTAAGACCGGTTGGAATCCCTGCCCGCCCCAGATGGCCCTGCCAGCTGCTCCATGGCATCAGCGAACATGGATGGTAGGAAGCAATCTTGGATCTTGCTTGTTGAATGGTGCTGAATGAACGTTCAAATGGAGGCCACTAGGGGCTCCTGGCCTTACTACTGGAAGCTACTAGTAACAAAGGGCATCGCTACTACAAGGAGCATGAAGATCCAAATTGTTTCCCTCCAATCCGTTTAGGTCTAATAACGTTGTTCCCAACAGGAGTCCACCGAGGACTGATACCTCTGGCAACCGCTGTGTTTCCAAGATGCATCCTTAAAGGACGCCATGTATGCAGCCGTGAAGAATCAGTACTGTTGTCCCTTTGAGCTTCATCCCATGCTTGTCTTGCTAGTTAAGCCTTGCGGGAAAGCTTTGAATACAAATGCGGTCGAGCGTCAAATGCAAATCTCCCTTAAAATAACGGCTGAATGGCTGAATATCACAAGCCGGGCTGCTCTTGAGTGCTGGTGCTGCTGCCCCATTCACAGCCAGCTGACAACCAAATCAAAGCACGTGGCATGTGAAGTACTTGTGTGATATGTGTATGTGTATATATATATATATGCATCCCTTGCATCTACAATCTTAACAGGGTATTGGAAGATCTGCTTCACCCGTTTACTATGCTTGTCTTCGTCTGAGACTTTTTGACCTCGCACAAAGCAAGCTCGACATGACCTCACGGCGGAATAGATAGACTTATAGACAGTGAGGTGGATTGATGATAGATGGAAAAAAAAATGATACTGTAATCTAACATCATCTAACTGGATTATAATATACATATATACACGTAATCTTCACAGAAAGCATGTTGGCTTCCCGGTTGTGGCACAAGGCAATAGCAGCGACAGGCATCATCAGCGATCTCGTCGTGGCAAGAATGAAAGAAACTAGACTAGACACCCCAAGTATCAGTTAGATCCATCATTGGACCGAAGGTGGTGAGATGTTCACAAATGGCCAACCCAAAGAATGTTCTGGGCGCCAATCAACAAATTTCCAGGAACATGGATGAGTAAGGAAGCACTGCCTCTTGACATACTGCTTGCAATCTTTTCTTTTTGACCAAAAACTCTGGTTGTGGAGCTACTCTTGAGGCGAACGACTTCTTTGGAAGACTTTTTTGGAGTGTTCTTGGAAACATCGCATCAATTTCTGACTGGATGTTGTGCTCTTCTCGAATGAGATTCAACCCAAGTTGGGTGCCTCAGCGCAAGGAAGGGGCACTAGAACTTTGCTGAAGACCTTCTTGAGGAGGCGCCTGCAGTCTCCGATTTACCGTCACCGCACAGCAATTTTTCGCTGTTAGATGTACAAACGAACTCTTGAGGTGGCCATGGTTGGAGTCCCAGGGAGCCAGAAAGTATCTTTCCTTACGGCGGATTGATCTTCCAATAGCCTTGATCCACATCGTCAGGCATTGTTTTGAAAACGAGAAAGTTTCATCGGCAAGTTTGCTTGTACCCTTTATGGCCACAAGAAAGCCGGTGCCTCTGGAAGCTTGCATGCTTCGGTCATCTTCGGTCTAAAGTCTAACCATGCAGTGATTCTGCTGTCTGCTCTCTACGCTTTACAGCCCTCACAAACAAAACGTTCTAATCCGGCCATCATTCATCAGACCTGGAAGAGTGGAAAATTACAAGCCATATACTGTACATATTCCGATTGTTATGTTTTTGCCCGCTCCTACTTAATTAAGTAGGCACCTGCTTAATTGAGTAAGGGAGGAGTAAGCTACTAGGAGTTCGCTCCTAGCTAGGACGCGGGATCACTTCTTCAAGGAAGCTCCCCGCGCCTGAGGGCGAGGGGGGGAAGATTTTTGGAAAACTTACTAAGCTCCAAGATATGTTCTGATGTAAAAAAATATTATATATAAATATAAATATATATATATGACAGTTGATTGGCTTTGTGGTTACAGAAGCAGGGCCGAGCAGCTCCTTTTACAAAGTTGA